TGACATGGCTGACACCAAGAAGGTCAGAATCTTCAGTAAATGCTGCACCTGTTATGGCATCTTCCTCAGGAAAATGGTGAAGAAAGATGAAATCAGCCAGCATACAAAGTGCATATACTCTTTTTTTTGCAAAACCAAGATGAAGAGATAGGCTATGGGGATCAGGTACCATGGTTCCTACATCAAAACAGTCACTTGCAGAAGTTGGACCTACAATTCTTATTTCTGTTATCACAGTAAAGCATGCCATCTGAAGACTGAAGGAATTGAAAGACCAGTAGACTCTTCACAATTCGAAACATTCCTGGCCTATAATAAATGCATTGATTTATGCATTTAGATACAAGACATAAATCTAACAAAACAAAACAAAAAGCCAATGCTAATGTAAGTATACTACATAAAGCCTTCAGCTGTGGCAGCAATTCATCCAACTGAAAACCTCATGCTAAATAAACCAATATGAAAGATTACCAGTTTACCAGAACAGTGAGGAATTTGTGGAAGCTATGAAGTAATTGACTATGAATTCCATTGGAGTTAAGTAATCAATACTCCACATATGAGACAAAAATAGGGGGGAATTTTTTGAGATTTTCTGGTAGAAATCTGAAATACACCAAAGATCAGGGCAACAAAGGCTGGTGAAAGAGGTAACTATAAATAGTGATTAAAGAGCTGCCCGTTAGCTGAGCTTATTCCTCACTTAGAAGTGCTGGTCTAGGCATTTGGGCTGTGTACATGGGTCTGAGCAGCAAAGTAATGAATGAATGCCCCAGATAATTTATTACCACCAGGAGGGACAGGGAAATTCTGTATTCGGAAGACAAATTGCATACCCACACGTTAGAAGAAAAGTCTGATTATAGTTTCCTCTTTCCACTTTCCTGCACAACCAAAGAAGCCAACACCTTGCAATCAAACTCAAGAAAGGGATTCTACTTACCAGTGTTCTTGAGTTTAGATTCCTTAACATATGTGAACTGACAAACAAGAATCACTAAAACTTAGAAAAATCCATACTATGAAAGCACAGCACAAACCCAACATATCAGTAAGGAAATGTTTTATCAATACCCCCAGATACAGAAGGAAGCCATTATGAAAGAGGAAGAGTGTTTTTGGAAATTGAAAAAACATGATTTCCAAATTTAGAGGTGAAGCATATTATTAAATGGCCTGAATGGATGCAACCAATGATTGGCTGTAGATTAGACCCCGGGATTTTTCCAGAAAGTTATATAAAAGAAGAAATAAAAAATATGAGAGAAATTAAGAGAGAGGGATTACAGTTTAAGTACTTTTATCAAGTAGGAGCTCTGTAAAGAGAGCAGAGGAGAGGGGAGTAGCTAATCAAAGGACTTTCAGTTAGAATGTTTACTACCCATGCACGCTATATACAAAATATTGCTTGGTGATATTTTCTAGCAAAAATGAAAAATGGATACATTAAACAAAAAACAAGAAACACTGATGAGCAAATAAGTCTGAAGCCAAAATAATATGGCTGTAAAATTAAACATCTAAAAATTATTCTTACCACATAGGAATATAATGTTTCAAATTAAAGGAAGAGAAATAAATGTGCTAAAGATCTTGATTACAGAAAAATATTGGCTCGGCCAAAAAGTACATTTTGTTTTTTCCGTAAAATAAAAGACACACTTCATTTTCACCAATAACTTTATTGGTTTGGATATTTTGAGTATGTCGGCTCTCTCCCATGTGATATAACATTGATTGTTCTCAATGTATCAATTTGGTCGCTATCAACTTCAGCTGCTCTACCCAACTGTGGAGCATCCTTCAGAAAAAAATCTCCAGCAGAAAACTTCACAAACCACTTTTGACACATTTGATCAGTCACACCAACTTCTCAATAAACTGCACAGATCATATTTTTTTTTTTTTTTTGCATTTTGGTTGCATTTTTACCTTTCTTGAAATAATAAAGCATAATATGCTAAAAATGTCGCATATTTCCTTCTATCTTCAATATTAAAATGGCTACACAAAAAATTACCAAATTCATTTTTTTTATATTATTTTTTTTATAGTATAAAATTTTTATGTTCAGAATTAGCCAGCTGGACTCAGTTTAGTTGTTCCCAATTTCGTTGGCAACATCGAAAGCATCAATCTGGAGCCCGCTGAACATATGCCACCTCCTCTCCATCAGGCCTAATCAGGGTGTTGACCTTGGCCACGTCAATGTTATAGAGCTTCTTCACAGCCTATTTGATCTGGTGCGTGTTGGCCTTGACATCCACAATGAACACAAGTATATTGTTGTCTGCTAACTTCATGGCTGACTCGATAGTCAGGAGGAACTTGATGATAGCATAGTGGTCAAGCTTGTTTCTCCTGGGGAGCTCTTCTGAGGATTTTTAGGCTGCCTTCGGAGCTGCAGTGTCTTAGGCCTCAAGAAAGTGAGTGACATGTGGATCTTCTGTTTTTTGGTAGCTATGGATACCTTTTAGCGCTGCTTTCTTTGCCTTCAAAGCCTTTGCCTTGGCTTCAGCTTTGGGAGGAGTAGGGTCTACCTTCTTCACTTTGGGCACCATCTTCATGAAAAGATGATTTTTTTTTTTTTTTAATGCACACTGATATGGCAGCTCTCACAATATAATCTAACAAAATTGTTTTGAATGAAGTTAAAGGCAACTAAGCACTACTGGAGCCATCTTACAGAAAAAAAACAAATGAACTTTTTGGCCAACCCAATGTGTTAGAAAATAAAACTGGGCCCTGACCCGATGGCTCAGTTACTTATAGTGCTGTCCTGATATGCCAACACTGCTAGTTTGATCCTTGGTCAGGGCACATACAAGAATCAGTCAGCGAATGTGTAAATGAGTGGAACAACAGTAGATGTTTCTGTCTCTCAAAACTGAAGGAAGCACAGTTAAAATAAGAGTCATCAGTAAAGCACAAGGAATTAGGTGCCAGAATTATTTCCAATGTCAGTAATGCCAATAAATGTAAGTGGAGTAACATGCTTTATTAAAAAGCACATTGTAATTAAGGTTGAAATAAATAAATGAAAAATGTTGTTTACAAACACACCTTAATTAAAATAACACAGAAAGGTTACAAATGAGCACCAGAAATTAGATATACTGGATAAGGTCCTAGATATAATTAACAAATATTTACAAAACAACTGAAGGGACAGTATCATGTAAGATAAACCAGAACTGAGGACAAAGGAGATAATTGTATAGAATAGAAGGTATAATCCACCAAAAATATAATTGTTAACCTTTTTATATCCTACAGACACACTGTAATGACACATAGGTAAGCATAAAAGCAAGTTTATTTAGCTTAGGGTTTTTGTTTTAGTGTGGAAAAATATACATACCTGTACCATTTCCACTATTTTTAACTATGCAGTTCATTGACATTAAGTGCATTCACATGGCTGTGCACCCATCACTGCCATCCATTTCCAGAACTTTTTCAAAAATTTTCCTAACCTGAAACTCTGTACCCATTAAACAATAACTCCATTTCAACTTGGATTTTAATAGCAACAATTTTAAAACTACTTGTTTTTTGTTACTGTTGTTAGTTTTCATTTTTGACACCAAGTTGTATGCCACTTATGCCTGTCACTTAGGGAACAATGTTACTGCTGATGATCTAGGGATAGTTTCCTTAGTATATTTGAATTTAAAAAGTTTGAAAAAAACCTTGCTGCAAGCCTTTGCTTATGTTCTTTTCCAAGCAGAAATGCTAATTGATATTATCTAGTCTGACTTTGACAAAAACCAGACTGTGAGACTGTGGTGTGTGTGTGGAGGGGTAGATTTCAAGAAGGATTTCAGGAGCCAGAATATGAGACTTGAAATGCAGTGGAAATGAAGTATAGAACTTGACGGTCAAATGAGGCAGTGCTTTACACTGATCATTCAAATACACATTGAAGTTAAGAATAACAGTAGAATTGGCATATGAGGAAGAAAATCAGCTTACATGCCAAATGTGCCAAGATATCAAGTAGACAACCAGTAGGTCTAGAAAGGTCTACATTTTGGGGCCATTATTCATGAGCACATAAGCTAAGTATGAGCACATAGAACTGAAATAAGAGTTATATAAAATAAAATATAACTTACCTTTCTTTGTGCTATATATTCCTTTCTACTTTGTTTCAATTTTTGAAACTTTGGTCTTAATGCATTAAATAAATTTAATAGAGTGAAAAGTTTGCAATCTATAGCTTAGAAAACACCAGTGTACGAAGTGGTTAAGCTGAATGTCATGAACCTTAAAGATGGAAGAATTTTTATACAACAGTGGAAAAGTTAATTTTAAGTAGCAGAAACAGGAGCAAGGCCAACACTTTCTTTGCTTACCTTGCCTAAGGAGCTTTAGTGGAGTCATCTTCTTCATGATTTAATGACTAACAAGTGGGAGAGAGTTTGGTATGAAGTGTTAGATGAGAAACTTAGTGTTTGTTTACTGCAAAAACATTTCAAGAAAATTGTGAAGAGTAACAAATAGCAAAAATTGGGGTAAGATTATATGTGGAATGCATTGGGTTAAATGGAAATAAAAGTAGAAAACAGAAATGTGGAGTAACTTACATTTTGACCTTGACTAAAGGTGAGAGAGATATAAAGTACTGAATACTTAGGCTGGTACCTAAGTTTCAAATGCAGTTCTTGGAGAAAGTAATTGACTTCTTTAAAAAAAAAAAGTAGTTGCAAGAGACAATCCAAGAATAGTTAAAAGTGACTAGATCTAGTTTATAATTTCAGGAATTCTGTTAATTATACTCTCAGTTTCCTCATCTGTAAATGATGTCATTAACTACTGTAAAAACCTTTTTTTATTTGAATTCATATAGTGCCTTCCATTATTGACAGTGGACTACGTTGGGACATTGTGAACAAGCCATTTTAATTATGAAGAAAATAGTTTATTAACTCAAAATATTATTTGTAGTTTCTTCATTAAATATTCTTCAGTCACACTTGATTTGTTGTTTTTAGTTGCACGAGCATGCAGCCTACTTGGTGGACAGTTTGTGGGAGAGCTCTCAAGAACTTTTGAAAGACTGGGAATGTATGACAGAGTTGCTATTAGAAGAACCTGTTCAAGGAGAGGAAGGTATAGTATTTTCATAAGTTGATCTACATATTGTTATAGATATCTATTAATAATAGTACCATCCTGTATAAATCGCATCTTAAAAGGAATATATGCAAGAATGCTGTATGTCTTTTTGCGAACAGTTTATTGCCTATAACTAAGGGTATCTCAGTAACTTATAACATCTTTCTAGATTAACACTGCTATCTACCAGAAAAAGTTCTTTAAAATCTGTGTTGTGTAATATTCAAACAGTTTTTATTATGCTGATTTGAGATACAAAATACAGACATTCTTAATTGTGAAAAATTTTACAATGGGCACTCAGAATCTTTTTGCTACATTTAAATGTGAACTTGGAAAAGCCTTTGAAACAAAAAGATTTCATTGGACCACAACCATCCCCTTTTGTTGTATTTTCTTAATTATTAAAATCAGAAAGTCAAAAATAGTCATTTACATAGCTATTCAAGAAATAGGTATAATTACTATATGATAATTTCTGAAATATGCATCTTACTACATGTTGCATAGTAACATGAACAGGAAAATGTATATGTGTACCTAAAAAATCATTTATATTCTAAAAGCTTATATGAATATTAGATCCTTAAAACTAGAAATGCTTTTTCCTATTTATGGTTTGTTTTTCAAACTAGCCCACAATAGGGCTTTAAAAAACTGCTGTTTCATTTAATTCATACAACAGTCCTGGAATGTAGATGATAACTTTGATGTAAGTGAAGCTTGTAGTAAACATGGACTTAAGAATTAAAAGAAATAGGTTCACATTTTTAACTTTATCCTTTGTGACCCAGGTCCTCATTTTTTCTGATTACTAGCCTCCTTTTCTTTGTAACAAAGAGATAATTTTCCCTATATACCTTATGTTGTTGTAAGGATTAAATGTAATCCAGTTAAACTGTTAATTCTCTGTTCTACTTCCCCTGATTTTTATATGGTTCAAAATCCTCAGGAATATAAAAGCAGAATGAGCCATCTCCTTTAGTAAAGACTACCCAAACAGGTCACCAGGAGAGTGACCAACCCCCAGTGTTCTTTCCAAATAGTGATGCTAACTGGCATTATCTACTCTGACTCTGACAAAAATTCAATGAAACAACAGGTATGCATCACATTCAGTTACATTCCAGTAAACTGGCCCAAATTGCCTCTTTTAAACAAAAGAACTTTGCCTCATAACCTCATCCTTAATTTGTAACACAAATCCTTTCTAAACTTTTCATAGATTTTCTTTCAGGGTAGATGTTATTATAGTATATTTGGCTCTACCTCTGATTATTATTTACTTTCTTTGCATGTTTGTTTTTTTCTCCATATTTTTTGTAAGAAGGTGGCCTTATTACTAAGGTGGTAGGACCTTCTGCTTACAAAGTCAAACTCTCAACTGAAAGGAAAATATTCCTTTCACTTTTGTGATCACAGGAATATGAACATATATTCTGTATTTTTTCTTTCTGTTTTACTTATATATGTTCCTGTTAAGTTCACTGCCTCATACATTCCTTTTCTAACTAATCTTAATATTTTCTCTGATAAAATCAATTTCCCTTCTCATTACTACTGCCCAATCAACACTTGAACAAAGTGCTTGACATTGGGTTAGAGCTTCTTGTTTATTATTATTCCAGCTCTTTTTAATCGCCCTGTAAGTTCTATAATATTATTTCCAAGGATAAGAGAGGCAGGGGATATAAATTAAAAGAAGATCCAAGGACCTATGCTTTGGTATTGTTGATTTTTTGCTCTCATTTAAATAAGATGGTTAAGTCATTAAATAGTATTATTATTAAGTCTGTCAGTTATCAAGGTATTCTAGATAGATTTGCCTCATTAAAATAACTGTACTATTAGTTGTTTTGTTTTTTAAATTTAGTTGACATTAGATTTAATATTCAGTCAAGATGTTTTGGCTTAAGTTTTTGGTTCAATTTTAGCTAAAAATGAAGTGAGCCATAAAATGGAAAAAAAATCAGTGAACAACAGTCTTAGGGTATGACTGAGTATGGGAAGACAAGGCTGGAGAAATTATGCATAACAAATGCAGAGCTGTTCAGGATACAACTTTGTTCATGTGTTTGTCCAAATGCATGTTGTGCCACATACAAGCTCTGGTATGGAATGGCTTCCAAATCAATTTTCTGTGCTAGTATTTTGCTATATTTTAGGATAAAAAAAAATAGTAACTTGTTTAAGACTAATCAGAAATTTTTATATTTTAGGTTGGTAAAGTGTGATAGATTTTTCCAGTGGATGAAAGTTTAGTTAGCAGTTGGAGATAGAGGACTAGAATTTACGAAAACAGACACAATGTCAAAGACTACTTTGCAATGTTTTTACGGGACAGGGAATTTTTTGTTGAACTTCTGTATGTATTCTACAGAAAAATCAAATTGCTGAATAAATTTTTAGTATAATCTGAACAGATAACAAATCAGGTATCAACAAAACCATAAATAAGTGGTTGAACTATCCTGGATTTTCAGCTTCTTCATCTAATTTTTAAAAGACCTTTGATTAGATCATCATCTGTGGTCATTTCTAATACTAAAATTGTTACGTAGTTGATGGATGAAGTAATACAGATAAGTGGAATTCTCCAAAGCCAGGGAATCAACTCATTTATAACTTTAAAATACTTATTGACTCTCTTCTGTGTGCAAACTAATATACTGAGCACTGAAATCAGTTCACTATCCACATGGAGCTACATTCTAGTGGGGAAGGCAGACCAAAACCAAGTGAACAATAATTTTAAGAGCTTACAAGCGTAGTGGATAATAATAATGAGGGGGCCTGCCATGGGAAATAATCAAAAAAGAGCTTTCTAGATAGAGGAAATAGTGACGGCAGAGTATCTGAAGGCTGATGATATTGTTACCTTTCAGGAGCTACAATATGTAGAGCATAGTGAACCAGTGGCACAAGATGAGAAAGAGGCAGAGGCCAGATGATGTAGAGAACCTTTTAGTTCATCAGTGGATTTATTTAGTTCATTCTAAATGTAATCGGGAGCTACTGAAGTATTTTAAAGAGAAGGGTGATGTGATCACATTTATATTTTAAGAAAGATGTTCTTTGTAAACATGATGTGGAGTAGGCAGAAGACCAGTTAGGTAACTTTTGCAGTGGTCTCTATGGGACATACTAATAAAAACATAAAAGAGGAAGGAAAGAGAGCCTGTGGCTAAGTTTGAAAGATTGTGGACTGGGGACAGAAACAGGAAGAGCAAGAAAGATAAGAACTCTAGCAAGCTGTAAAAAGGATAACAGATAATTGTACCCTGCGAAGCCCAGTAAAGAGAAGTTTCAGGAGAGCTGTGCTTAATAAATTAATATCACATGATGGAGAGAAGGAAAAGAACTGATGATTTAGGTCATCGGTGACTTTTAAACCTTTCCTTTCAGCGGCAGTTAAAGGAGAGAAGTCAAAGTTCAAGGTGGTAAGAATAAAATCAATAATGAGGAAATGGAGATGATGTACAAAGAGGTCTCCAAAGATTTCAAAGTTATGTAGTTATCTGTTAATTCATAGCGTGAATAGTTGGCTACCTATTTGTTCCAATTATTATATTTGGCTCTTGTTTGTGGCTTAAGGCTTGCTTTGTTTTCAGTTTTATTGTCTGATTTTACTGTTGTATCCCAACAGGGATTTCAATTAAATTTCAACTGTTTTGCATGTACCTTGTCTAATTGAATGGTTTCAAATTATAGAGTAAATAACAAAATTTATGTCATTGAACACTGTGTATGGTTCAGTTATTTTTCAACGCTAATATCGAGTTTAGTATAGTAGGGAAAAGGTTTCATACTTAAGCTAACTTGCTCACTCTCCCCTTGCTTTCCATAGAACTAGATCATTCCTTTATCCCCCCAGCCAAATGTGAAAATTTCTGAAATTATAGAATCATAAAAGTAAAACTTAGTTTTATTTTGTGGAAAGTTTTTTCTTATTATTAGGCACTAAATCAGGGAGTATAAAGGAAAAAGCTGAAGCTATTTCATGTGATTTTCCTAAAACAAACTAAAGCTCATATATTTTTCCTAAGACAATAAAATGTTAAAACAAAAATGATTGAATTAAGATAGCCATACATATTCCTATATAGTATCATTTTGGTACACAGAAAAGGACAAGATCTTATGCCTTTGTTTACCTTTTCATTATAGTTGCTTAAACTTATTTTAAAATAATTACTATAAACTATATTTCTAAATCTTAAATTTTTTTCATTTAAATTATGCCTAGCTTCTGTTTCTATAATCTCCACATCTGTCGGTCTTTAACGTAAGTATACAGAGGAAAAGAGACACGTAGGAAAAGGGAGATAGAAAGATAGAATTAAATTATTCAAATTAGTCTCAACATGTATCTTTAAAAATACATAGGATTGAATTCAACAAGGAGAGTACAGAATCCATGTGAAGAAAACTGTAATGTTTTGTTCAATGACATAAAATAAGATCTTGAAGAGGGCTATATCATGTTTCTGGCTAGAAAGATTATATAAATTTCAGTTATTCTTAATGTAATGTATAATTTTCTTAAAATACCAGTCTGAATTCCAGTGGGTTTAAGAGAGTTCTGTGAGGTAAAGAGGAGGAACTAAGCAAAATGATTTTGAAGTTTATATATTGTTAGAATTTTAAGCTTATGTAAAAAAGGCAGTGTAGCATAGTGCATAAGAGCACAGACCCTGGAGTCATACCGCGTGGGTTCATAAATGGGTCTACCACCAAGTGCTTTGAAAAGTTACTTAACTTCTCTGTGTAGCTCATTTTCCCCATCTGTGTGTGTGAGAATGCTAGTTTCTATCTCTTGGAATTATTTGAGGATAAAAAACATTTAATGCATGTAAATCACTTACAGCAGTGCCTTATACATAGAAAATGCTTAGTAAATCATTTACCATTAGCATTAGAAAAATTTTAGAAAGCGGACTAGATGAGGGAATCTTGTTCCACTAAAATATTCAAATTAGGTTAAATGGGTTACATATTAAGGTATATTATACCAAATTATAAAGCTGCTATAATCAAAATAGTATGGCATTGTAATAGAAATAGATTAGTGAAACTAAATAAAGAATCCAGAAATACATCTAAGTATATGTAAGAGCCCAAAACATAATAAAAAGTGACTTTTAAATTCAGCAGGAGAAGCTGGTTTAGTTAACAATGTTAAAGACATGATTGGATTTTCATCTGGTGGGAATAAACAGGCCTATACTTTATACTATCAGCAGAAATAAATTCCAGACAGATTAAAAGTTTACAAGCAAGTGAAAGACAATGGGGAGTGATTGAGAGAGAAGTCAATGAAGAAGAAAATATATTTCTATAATCTTTAGAACAGGGAGACCTTTGAAAGCAATACAAGAAATTCAGAAACCTTTCTGTGTCTGTATGAGATGATAGATGTTAACGAAACTTACTGTGGTAATCATTTCACAATATAAGTCAGGTTATTATACTGTACAACTTAAACTTACACAGTGCTGTTAATGTCGATTGTATCTCAATAAAACTGGAAAGAAGAAAAAGAAACCCAGAAGCCATTAAACAAGTTGGTGCAGATGTGACTCTGTATTAGTTAACTCTCTTTCTCACAAAAGATACTGTGAAAAATGACAACAAAACAGACAAACTGGGAGAAAAAGTTTGCCTCATTCAAAAGACAAAGTTACTATTCCTAATATACAAGAGTCGATAAATAAGTAAGGTGAATAATAGTAGAAAAAATGGACAAAGAATAAAGATAGAGCCCCAGCTGGTGTGGCTGAGTGGATTCAGCACTGGCTTGCGAACCAAGGGTCACTGGTTCGATTCCCAGTCAGGGCACAAGTCTAAGTTGTGGGCCAGGTCCCCAGTAGGGGGCACTCAAGGGGCAACCACACATTGATGTTTCTCTCCTTTCTCCCTCCCTCCCCCTCTATAAAAATGAATAAATAAAACCTTTCTTAGAAAAAGAATAAAGATAGAAAAATCTCAGAAAAATTCAACATCAATGAATAAGAAAATACACTCCACTAATTAGTAGATAAGAAGGGGCAAAATAACAATGAAATACCATTTTTCAGTCATTGGATTGGCAAAAATTAAAGGGATTTATACATTCAGTGCTGGCAGAGATCTGAGAAACCAAATATTCTCATCATTTCAGTTGAAAGACTAATTGCAATGAAGAACCTTTGTCAGTATCAAGATTTTAATCTTTGACCTATTACTCCTTCTGGGAATGTATTCTGCAAAAATTAAAATATTGGTTACATAAATGTTTGCATATAATGATATTTATTGCTACACTGTTTATAATTACAAAAATTTAGAAACAACTTGAACATTAGTAGGAGATTGACTAAATTGTAGAACAAATTATGTAATAATTTACAGTTCTATAATATAATTATTTATATAAGTATGCAGTGACTTGAAAGATACTCCAAATCTATTGTTAACTTTAAAAAAGATTTATTATTTAAGCTTTCAAATGGTGTAGATGGAAGTACAGTAAAATCCTGCCTAACTCAGAAGCATGATATTAGATCAGGTATTAAAACAAACTAGAGTTTATCTTCTTTTTCTTTACTTTGTATATTTCTTATTTGACTTATGATAAGCACACACTACTTCTTTTTAAAAAAAGGTACAGATCTTCAGTATATAATCAGTAATAGAATGTATTTATAATTTTTTATAATTGTATTCATTTTTAATACATTTTTTACAAATCTCATACTAATGTGTTTTGTTTTACCTTAGCAATGTCTGACCGTCAAGAGAGTGCTCTAATAGAGCTAATGGTTTGTACAATTCGTCAAGCTGCTGAGGCACATCCTCCTGTGGGAAGGGGTACTGGCAAGAGAGTAAGTTATATTAATGGTAAATCTACAAAAAGGGTTTTATTATCATTAACTGTCTTAAATATTTGAAAATTTTACTCGTACATGTATTCCTAAAAACATGATATTTTTATGAAGAATACATGGTGTGGTGCTTCATTTTTATGTTGTCTCCTATACTCAGGTTCCAAAAATAGGTTCTTTTTTTCCATGCTCCTATAGCACCTGTACCTGCTTCTATTCTAATACTTTCAAGAATTTTCACATTTATGCCATGGTCAGTGTGGCTCAGTTGGTTGGAGCATTGTCCCCTAACCAAAAGGTTGTGGGGTTCGATTCCCAGTCAGGGTACATACTTAAGTTGCAGGTTCTATCCCTAGTTTGGGTATGTGCAATTCCTAGTAGAGGCATGATTGGAAAGCAACCAATCAATGATTCTCTCTTGCATTGATGTTTCTTTCTCTCCCTTCCTCTCTCTCTAGAAGCAATGAAAAAAATGGTGAGGATTTAAAAAAAAGGCTAAAGAATTTTCACATTCATATCTGTTGCAAGTACAAGAAAGCCTGTGAAAGCAAACTGCCTAGCTCACAAGCTCTTGCATTTAGCAACCATGTAATGTTCAATAGGTTTTTTTGTGTGTGTGTGCCTTTATTTCTTCATCTGTAATATGGAGGCTAATAATGCAGGTGTTATTGGTATTTTGATGAATTGAGATAATCACAGATAGGAAGATTATTTCTGATGATATGAAAAAGTAGGCAATTTCTCTGCCCAAAAAAAAAAAAAAAAAAAAACAAGTATAAAACTGGAAAATTTGTTTTAAAAAAAACAAACAATCATATCACAGCTCTGGAAATTCATCAAAGATTTCTTTTAAAAAAATTCAGAAGCATTTTTCTTGAAAAACTGCTGAAACTTCTGGTAGAAGCAACAGAAATATACAGCCTTCTTGTCTGGGGTTACAGTATACACAGACCCCAGAGGTTTGATTGATGAGATCTGTAGTTTTAACAGAATGGTACTATCCACAAAAACCAATAGCTTCTCTGTCATAGAGGGTAGACCCCCTAAGGGACAAGTGGTAAAAGTCCCCGTATCAACTAGAAATGGAATACTTGGTAGAAACAACTAAGGAAAACCTGTATCTGTGATATTCAGAGGTTGTGGTCCCAGCTGGTAAGAACAATGGACCAGCCAAGAATCTAACTAAAAAGTCCTGGAAATGGACCTGCCATAGAAGAAATAATAAAAGAAGTCCTCCATGCTCTAAAGAATACCAGATGGTAACTTTAATTAAAAGGAAGGAATAAAGAATACCAGAAATAGTAAATATTATGTGGTGGATATAAAAGGCAATATATACTATACATTTTTTCTTTTTCTTTCTTAATTTCTTTTAAAGGGATTTGAGATCATTTAAAGCAATAATTATACCACTGTAGTATTACAACTATGTGATATATAATATACATGGTATATGTGAAAACAATAGCACAAGGTAGGGTAAAGGAAATTAAACTATTGGAACAAAATTGCTATATTTTGCTATGATTTTTACAATATTAACCTTAAGTTGATTATAATAAGTTAAAGAAGTATATTGTAATCCCTAAAGCAACCACTCGTACCTAAAAGGAAACAAAATCAACAAAGGAGTTACAGTACACTAAAAAATTTTTAACCCCAAAGGAAGCAGTGAAGGAGGAACAGACAAATACAAAAAGACATGAGAAATACAGATAACTATAGCAAAATGGCTGACATAAATTCAGCCATATAAAAAATTATGTTAAATATGAATTGGCGATAGGAAAGAGTCAAAAAAAATGGAGATTAACAAAACTGTGGAGCTCTGGCCAGTGTACCTCTGTTGGTTGAAGCATCTTGTCCCGTAGATCAAAAAGTTGCAGGTTTGATTCCCCATCAGGACATATACCCCGGTTGTGGGTTCAGTGCCCGATTGGGGCACATAAGAGAAGACAATCAGTCAATGTTTCTCTCTCACATCAGTGTCTGTCTGCTTGTCTCTCTGTCTCTCCCTCCCTCCCCCTCTCCCTCTCTCTTTTCCTCTCTCTAAAAGCAGTGAAAACATGGCCTTGGTGCGGGTTAAAAAAATTTTTTTTAAAGAAAGAAAAACATTATTGAGCAAGTATGTAATGATACTAAGAAATTGTTTAGATCCTAGGGGATGTCGAAGATGAAGGCATAGGTAAACACAGCTGGCCTCTCTGCACAGCCACAGAAAAAAATTACAGCTAGACTACAAAACAGATATTGCCCAGAATCATCAGAAAATCGAGTTCTATGGAAATCTCACAACCAAGGAATTTAAAGAAGCCACATTCATCCAGACAGGGAGGAAGAGCAAAGATGCAGAGATATGGAACAGGCAGTCCCACACCCATGTGTGGTGGATAAAAAGCAGGAGGAATACCTTGAAAGCAAGGGATCCTAGCCCCATACCAGTCCAGGGTACCAGCATCAGGATGATAAGTTTCCCTAACTTCTGGCTGTAAAAGCAAGTGGGGATTGGGAGCAGAAGAAATTGCAGGATTTTTAGGAGTCTTTTAAAGGGCCCACAATGGACTTAGGACATACACTTAGGACAGATTCACTTACTCTGGGCTTGAGCACCAAGACAGCAGCTGGAAGGGCACCAGTGGCATGTGTGGAGAAACTGAAATGTCTGTAATCAGGGCAAGTGCCAGGGACAGCTTCCTCCCTGACAAAACTCCAGAGGCTGAGAGCAGCATTATCTCCTTTCTGAGCCCTCCTGCACACAGTCCCACAGAGTGGCGGCACCATATCAAAGACTCCATCTACTTGGTTCACAGTTTTGCCCCACCCTGGCAATTACCTCAGGCTCTACCCTGTCCAACTTAGCAATACATTTTTCTACAGTAGGCCATGGGACTAAGACAGGGAGTCAAAGCAGCTCTACCTAATACATAGAAGCATGTGGAGGCTGCCAAAATGAGGAGACAAAACAATATGACCCAAATGCAAAAACAGAACAAAACTCCAGAAAAAGAACTAAACGAAACGCAGTCAAGCAACCTATCAGATACAGAGTTCAAAACATTAGTTATCAAGATGCCCCAGGAACTCATTGGGTACTTCAACAGCATAAAAAGACACCCAGGCAGAAATGAAGGTTACACTAAGTGAAATAAAGAAAAAATTTACAGGGAATCAACAGCAGAGTGGATGAAACCAAAAATCAATGATTGGAACATAAGGAAGAAAAAAACATTCAATCAGAACAACAAAAAGAAAAAATCCAAATAAATAAATAAATAAATAAACAATGATAGGCTAAGGAGCCTCTGGAACAACTTCAATAGGTCCAACATTCAAATCATAGGGATGCCAGAAGGAAAATAGAGCAAGAAATTGAAAACTTATTTGAAAAAATAATGAAAGAAAACTTCCCTAATTTGGTGAAGGAAATAGATGTACACATACAAGCAGCACACAGTCCCAAACAAGATGGACTCAGCGAAGACCACACCAAGACATACCATAATTAAAATGTCAAAAGTTAAAGATAAGGAGAGATTCTTAAAAGCAGCAAGTAAAAAAGCATTGTGTTGCCTACAGGGGAGTTCCCGTAAGACTACCAGCTGATTTCTCAAAAGAAGCTGCAGACTAGAAGAGGGGCTGACAAGAAGTATTCAAAGTGTTGAAAAGCAAGGATCTACAACCTAAATTACTCTATCCAGCAAAGCTGTATTTGGAATTGAAGGGCAGATAAAGTGCTTCCGAGATAAGATGAAGCTGAAGGAACTCATCATCAGCAAGCCATTATTATATGAAATGATAAAGGGACTTATTTAAGAAAAAAGATCAAAACTATGAACATTAAAATGTCAGTAAATTCACAAGTATCATCAGTTAATCAAGAAAAAAAAGCTAAGCAAACAGGTAGAATAGAAACGAATCATAGATATGGAGATCATTTGGAGTGTTATCACTGGGAAAGAGGAAGGTGGAGAATGGAGGGGAAAGGTGCAGGGATTAAGAAGTACAAATTGGTAGGTACAAAATAGACAGGGAGATGTTAAGATCAATATAGGAAGTGGAATAGCCAAAGAATTTATATGTATAACCCATGGACGTGAACTAAAGAGGGTGGGGGGTATTGCTGGAGGGAATGCAAGGTACCAGGTGGAGGGGGACAAAAGAGGGAGTAGTTTCCAACTTTTCCAAAGTAAAGGTAAAAATATATATATTGTCTCAAGTTTGAGAGACTCTTCCAGCTAATTTCTTGTCCTTTTGACATATCTTAATGTCTGGAGCACGTTCTTGCTGTCTTTTAAAGCAAGATGAGTAGGTTTTTGTTCTTCCTTTGCTGTATATGTTATAGATAGCTATGTAAAAAATCACTTGAAAATTAAGGGGCTTAAAACAACCTTCATTATCTTATAGTTCTGTAGGTCAGAAATTGGGGAGTGGCTTAGCTGTTCTTTTGGTTTAGGGTTTCTTATAGGATTGCTGTTAAGATGTTAGTCAAGGCTTTTAGCCTCTAAAAGCTTGATTGTTAATTTACTACTTCCATAATGGCTCACTCATATTGGCTGGCAAGTTAGTGTTGATTGTTGGTAGGAGGCATGTGATTTCTCATCATATAGCCCTCTTGGTAATACTGTTTGAGTGTACTCATGATAGGGCTGCTTTCCTTCCCCAAAGTGAATGATGGAAGAGAAAGGAAAGCAAAACAAATGATCTGAAAGAGAGTGAGGTGGACAATTCTGTCTTTTATTACCTGGCCCTCAAAAGTCATACAGCATCATTCCCACAGTATCCTATTGGTTATACATGTCAGGATTATTCATTGTGGGAAGAGATTTTAAGAAGGGCATGAATACTTGGAAGCAGAGATCATTGAGAGTCACCTTGAAGACTCATTCTAGCACAGGAATCTCCAACTAGCCCTGGTTCCTTTGAATAGAGCAGTAGTTAATTTTTTTTAAAACTTAACTTTTAAAGAGAGAAAAATCATTTTGTTGTTCCACTTATCTATGCATTCATTGGTTGCTTCTTGTATGTGCCCTGACTGGGATTGAACCCACAACCTTGGCATATCAGGATGATGCTCTAACCAGCTGAGCTATCCTGCCAGAAATAGAGCAGTTCTTAAGGGTCAAAATCTCTGCCCTGGGTTGTTCAGTTGGTTGGACCGTCCTCCCAATACACCAAGGTTGCTGGTCTGATCCCCAGTCAGGGTACATACAAGAAACAACCAATGAATGTATAAACAAGTGGTGCAACAAAATTGATGTCTCTCTCTCTGTCTCTCCCTCTCTCCCCGACTCCCCACCCTTTCCTCTAAAATCAATCAGTCAGTAAAAACAAAGATCAAAATCTTCACACTATGAGGACTCATTGTCAATTGGTTATCATTGCTGCTAGACACTTTTTGTAGATAGAGCTAAGAGAGATATATATATATATATATATATATATATATATGTATGTAATACATTCATATTGATATTTCTGATAAAATTTATCATAACAAAAACTCCTTAATTTTGTTTTTTCCCATTTTTTTGGAAACATGTAAAACATATAGTTAAAAAGTCAAAACCTTTTGAAAGTGTATATTCAGACAAGTCTTTATAATATACCTCTCTCTATACCTCATTCCTGCCAATAACTTTATTTCTTTCAGTCTTTCATTTTGCAAATGTAGATAAATGCAAGCACAAGTACAGATACTGTATTCTTACTCTAGACCCTCCTCCTTCTGAATCTTTTACCAAAAATAGCATGCTCTGTACAGTGTTCTGTAACTTTTCTTTTTTTCATTTAACAGTATATCCTGGTATCACTTCATTCATTTTATTTGGAAGCCTTCAGCTTCTTGTGGCTGTGGAGTAACCATATGTGGATATACTGTTGAGAGTCTTTTACTATTCGAAATAATTTGTAATAAATTATCTTGTGTCATTTTATACTCATACTAGATGTGTTGGTGGGAGAGAGTGCTAAAAGTGGGATCACAAGGTCAAAAGAAAAATATGTATACAGTTTTGTTAGATATTAGTAAATTGCTCCTTTATAGCCATGCCATTTTTGCTAGCCCATCAGAGATACTGTGAAGATTGAATGAATTCCAGATCTAAGGATCATGTATTCAAAGATAGCTATTTTTCTAAAATAAGTCTCCTTAGATCTTCCATACATTGTCAAATTAGTTTTAAGACTTAATATTCTGAATATATTCTTAGACATATATTCTACTTTATATGTTAATTCCTTTAATTGTTTCATACAGAACTAAACATAATACTTGATAGATTATTCCAGAGTGGTTATTTTATATGTATAAGAGGATGAAAAACAAAGTCCCAGAAGGAAGAATCAGGAGGCCCTATTACTTCTTTGACATAATCTCAAACATTGGGGTTTACATTTATAAAGTGGCAATATATGTCAGAATATTTCTGGTCTATAAAACCCTTCAACATTATAATGGTAAATTCCTTCATGATAATATCAAAATGCAGAATAATTTTGCAGAAATGATTATCTCAACTGAGCTTGCATTTTAATATTTTATTTTTGGAACTATTCATGATTTAACTAGTTGAATAGAGACTAAAGTGATGTGCATCATCAGCCTGTTCACTGACCACAGGCTATATGTACCCCTCTGTCTTAATTATTTTCTAGCAGATTTATGAGCTTTGTTACAAGGAGAACCAAATGTAAGTGATTCCAGGTTATTGCTAGTATATGCTGTAAAAATAAGTGAAAGTGTATTGGCTGCTGATGATATTTCAAAAACATTTATTCCTAAGTATTTTTAGAAAAGTGTGTTTAACACATGGGAGATCACTTATATTGAGATTAAAACTCTAGAAAAATTATTTCTCCTTTGGTTCCTATATTTTATTTATAACTGTAGGTTAATAGAAATGTTCATTTTTGTTTTTATTTTAATAAGTAGTAATTTATCTAAACTTTAATGATCCTTAAGTAAGTAGCTATTTAATTAAGTAGTAGTGCATGTTAACTAGAAATTTTCATAAAACAAGATGTCTTTAGTTTGGTAAACAGTTTGTTAAACTCCTCTTAAAATTTTTATTTACATTATCTGTTAGTGCTTCATCATTCTGTGTAACATTCTAGACTTATAAATTAGTATCTGTAACACTCTTAATTCTTTGCCCATTTAAATTTATTTGTAGGTGCTAACTGCCAAAGAGAGAAAAACTCAAATAGATGATAGAAACAAATTGACTGAGCATTTTATTATCACACTTCCTATGTTGTTATCAAAGGTACAGTTTTATTTACATTTTATTATAATATATCACTGAATTTGTTGATTACACTATTCTATTAAAGTAGTTAACATCTTTTTTTCCTTCTCTTTCTAGTATTCTGCAGATGCAGAGAAGGTAGCAAACTTGCTACAAATCCCACAGTATTTTGATTTAGAAATTTATAGCACAGGTAGAATGGAAAAGGTAAGATACTATGAAATTGAAATTCTGCTCTTGTATTTAGTTTTATTAACTGGCTTATTTTGATTTTACATGAGCATATAAGCTTATTTATTATTTGACAGATGCTTATTTTTGTTTTTTATTATAAATCTAAATATCATAGATTTTCTTTCTTTCCTCCTCAGCATCTGGATGCTCTATTAAAACAGATTAAGTTTGTTGTGGAGAAACATGTAGAATCAGATGTTCTAGAAGCCTGCAGTAAAACCTATAGCATCTTATGCAGTGAAGAGTATACCATCCAGAACAGAGTTGACATAGCTCGAAGCCAGCTGATTGATGAATTTGTAGATCGATTCAATCATTCCGTGGAAGATCTATTGCAAGAGGTAGTTTTAAAATTAATGTCTACATATAATTGTGGCTAATAATTATTCAAAGTAGCTAAGTACGTAAATTACTTCCATTTAAAAATAAAATTTAGTAGAATTCTCTGAACCTTTTGGAACTTAGCAGCAATTGTTTATCCTATAAAGATCAACCTTGGGTATACTTTATTTTAAAGATTTGTTTCAATACAAGCTAGCTTTTTGTTTTGTTTTTTTGTTTTTTTTGTCTAAAAAAAAATCTTTTTAAGGACTAGCTTTTATTAAATCATTTTTTAATTTTCTATTTCTGGAACCTAATTTGCATTTTAATTTCTTAAATTATTATGTACTGATGAAAAGCACATAAAAATTATGTGCTTATAAGGGATGGCTAGTTATTATTGGTGTGCCTGAGATAGCAGCAAGCATCTCCATCTGGTTATTTTTATTATTATTTCTGTGATTCTCACATCCTGTCCTCTCCTTCCAATCTATATAGAGCAATCTTGAACCCTCACAGCTTTCTGTGATCTGAGGTCCAGGCTGCTGTCATCTTCTTAATTCATGTAATTGATTTTTTCCTACTTCTAATTTTAACTTTAAAAATCTTTTTCAACCATTTTTGATTTTTCATTGTGATGTTTTTTGAAACTACAGAAGTAACTGATAATCAATAAAATCTTTAAAATAATTGTTAAATTTTTAACATTTATACATACCCTTTCTTTCACTCAATAATTTAAAGGAATTTATCCTGAAGTATTAATCAGAAAATATACAAAGTCACATTTATGACATCATTTAAAATGCAAAAAGTGGTTATTTCTCAGTGTTGGGATTTTAGGTGTTTTTTATTTTTTGTGGTTTTTGCTTTATTTGTATTTTGTTACTTACCAACAGTGAATAAGTACTATTTCTGTAATAATAAAAACAACTTTTATTTAGGGAGTAAGTATTAATAGACTTTCATGTGAATCTGAGGATGAGTCAAGTTATGGTAATGAGGTGATGTCTACGTTTTATTTATAGGGAGAAGAAGCTGATGATGATGATATTTACAATGTTCTTTCTACCTTGAAACGGTTAACCTCTTTTCACAAGTACGTAATTTTATTTACTGTACATTCAGTGAATAACATAAATTAGCCAACATAAAACAAACTGTCATAATTTGAGTTTCATAGGTACAATTTTCCATTGATACCTTTTAAAACTTCTATTGAATAAGAAATAATGTTTTGGGGAAAACCATGAAAGTTATTTCTGTGAACTCTTATTTCTGAATTGTTCTTGTTTGTTTATATAAACAGAACAGTTGGATTTGTTTTTGTTTTTGTTTTTTCCCCCTGCATTTGAATAAGGACAAAAGGCTTATTCAAGGAAATAGGTATCATTTTCAAATTGAAATTTGCATGTTCCTTATAGTAAGACATGCTTATCTTCTCCATAAAGAAGGGAAAATAGAGAACTTTATTATCAAAAGAATGTTTAGGCATAGCCCTTACTTTAGTGAATACTTATGATTTCAAAGCATTATCTAAAATCTAAGCCTTTTCTTTATATACAAGTACATACTTTGGAATTTCATGGAGAAGCAAATGTATTTTTTAAAAATATTTAGATGCATGAAAATAAAAGTTGACAGCCAGTCATCTACTGTATCTTTGAAATTGTAAATAGTGAATGGATACAGTAGAAAGAAAGATTACCCATCTATGGAATAAGAGCTTAGGTTGACCATGTGGTAGTAATCTTCTCTTAAATGTGTAAAGTTTTATTGTTATTGATTTCTTTTAATGAATTCCTAAAGTCAGTCAGCTTGAGCTCTCTCCACCCCTTTTTCTCCCTGCCTTATTCTGCACTTCCTTTCTTCCTAAGTATGAGCATTTGAAACTTTCTTTTATGAATCTTCTTCAACCCTACAAGAAAATGAAGTAATTTTACTCTTCCAATCACTGAAACTGAGATCAAATTTAAATTTTCCTTCACTCTAGAATAAAGTTAATACATTTCTGTTTATTTTAGTGCTCATGATCTCACAAAATGGGATTTGTTTGGTAATTGCTACAGATTATTGAAGACAGGAATTGAACATGGAGCTATGCCAGAACAGGTAGGAGCTTATAAATATTCCTTCTATCTCATTTCAGAAACCTAAGATTTTTTGAGATCACGCAGGATTATCAAAAACCTTTCACAGAAAGTAGTTGATAATTTTTAATGTAGCCACCTGCTTTCAAAGTTCATTGCTATATTGATTAAATGTTACTGATATATCTTCAGGTTTGAGCAGAAAAATACAGAAAACCTTTGCTATTATATTCTCAAAATTTTAATTTATGGAATATCTTTAGGAAAAATATTGCTATAGTAGCAGTTTCAAAACTCAATTAATTTAGTATAATGAAAATTTCTGATCATGGCTATATTCCAGGTAATGATAATAAGAAGCCTTAGGTATTGCTTTATTTTTGTAGTAGAATCATACACAGTTAAGTAAGTGTGGGGACCTTTACTACATTGTAGGACTTTTTATTTTTAACCATTACAATTAGTATTAATTAACAATAACAACGTGCTTTTAAGAATTAAGAGATATTTTGTACGCAGCTGGTATCCGTGTATGTAAACCTAAATGCTAACCCCATAGTTAGGTATAGATAGTCATTTAGGGGTGATCTCATCCATTCCCTTTGGGTAAAATAGAATACTTAAAGGATAATTCATTACACTAAAGCAATAAGAACTTCAATAGCTATAACAAAATTATTTTTATATTAAAAGTTAATCACAGCCCTGGGTGGTGTAACTCAGTGGGTTGAGCACCAGCCTGCAGATCAAATGGTTGTGGTTGAGTTCCCAGTTAGGGCACATGCCTGAGTTGCAGGCCAGATCCTCAGTTGGAGACATGCGAGGGGCAATCGATTGCTTTCTCTCTCTTTCCCCTTCCTTTCCCCTCTCTCTCTAAAAATAAATAAAATAAAATAAATATTTTAAAAATAAAGTTAATCACAAAGCCCAGGCTGGTGTCGTTTAGTTGGTTGGAGCATTGTTTATAAAGTGAAAAGTTGTGGGTTCAGTTCCCAGTCAAGAGGACATATGCCTGGGTTGCAGATTTGGTCCCTGATCTGTGAGCATGTGTGGGACAACCGGTCAATGTTATCTCTCACATCGATGTTTCTCTCTCTTTACTTCTCTCTTTCTGGAATTTAAAAAATAAAAATAGTTAATCACATACACAGTGCTTCATTATTGCTATGATTACTTTTTTTAAGTTGTCTAACACTCTATCTTTTTTTTATTTTTATTTTATTGTTCAAATATATCTATCTTCATTTTCCTGCCACCAGTTTCTCCTGCCCCTCCCACCCTCAGTCCTTCCCCACTTTGGCTTTGTCCATGGTACTTTATACATGTTCCTTGATTTGACCCTTCCTCTTCTTTTCCCCATTACCCCCTCCCTCCTTACCTCTTGCTACTATCTGTTTTTTTCTTTCAATGTTGCTGCTTATATTTTTCTTGCTTGTTTGTTTTGTTGATTAGGTTCCAATTATTGGTGAGATCGTATAGTATTTGTCTTTAACCCCCTGGCTTATTTCACTTACCATAATGCTCTCCATTCCCATCCATGCTGTTGCGAAGAGTAGTAGCTCTTTCTTTCCTTCTGCTGCAAAATATTCCATTGTGTAATTGTACCATAGTTTTTTTATCCACTCATTTATTGATGGACACTTAGGTTGCTTCCAGCACTTGGCTATTGTACATTGTGCTACTGTGAACATTGGGGTGCATAGGTTCTTTTAAATTGGTGTTTTGGGATACTTAGGGTATAATCCCAGCACTGGAATCGCTGGAACAAAAGGCATTTCCATTTTTAGCTTTTTGAGGAAATTCCACACTGATTTACACAGTGTGGAATGACACAGTGAGCATTACCACCAGTAGTGCACTAGGGTTCCCTTTTCACCACAACCTCTCTAGCTCTTGTTTGTTGATTTGTTTATGATGGCCATTCTGACCAGAGTAAAGTGGCATCTCATTGTGGTTTTAATTTGCATTTTTCTGATGGCTAGTGATGCTGAGCATCTTTTCATTTGTCTTTGGGCCCTGCGTATATCCTCCTTGGAGAAGTGTCTGTTCAGGTCCTTTGCTCATTTTTTAATTGGATTGTTTGTCTTCCTGGAGTGGAGTCGTGTGAGTTCTTTATATATTTTGGAGATCAAACCCTTGTCCAAGGTATCATTGTCAAATATATTTTATCATATGGTCGGTTCCCTTTTCATTTTGCTGATGTGTTCTGTAGCCATGCGGAAGCATATTTTAATGAGGTCCCATTTGTTTATTCTTTCCTTTATGTCCCTTGCTCTAGGGGACATATCAGTGAAAATATTGCTGTGTGGAATATCTGAGAGTTTCCTGCCTATGTTCTCCTCTAGGACTTTCATGGTGTTGAGACTTATATTTAAGTCTTTTACCCATTTGAGTTTATGTTTGTGTATGGTGTAAGTTGGTTGTTGAATTTCAATTTTTTGCATGTAGCTGTCCAGCTCTCCAAGTAGCATTTGTTGAAGAGGCTATTTTTACCCTGTTTTAAGCTTCTGCCGTCTTTGTCGGATATTAATTGACCATAGAGACATGGGTTTATTTCTGGTCTCTCTTTTCTGTTCCATTGATCTATGTGTCTGTTCCTCTGCCAGTACCAGACTGTTTTGATTACAGTAGCCTTGTAATATAGTTTGATGTCAGGTATTGTGATCCCTCCTACTTTGTTCTTCTTTCTCAAAATTGCTGCAGCTATTTGTGGTTGTTTATAGTTCTTATACATTTTTTTGAAATGATTGTTAATATATCTGTGAAATATGTCATTGGCATTTTAATAGGGATTGCATTGAATCTATAAATTGCTTTGGGTGATACGGACATGTTGATGATATTAATTCTTCCAAACCATGAAGATGGTTATGCTTCCATTTATTTGTGTCTTCCTTAATTTCTTTCTTCACCATTGTGTAGTTTTCTGAGTACAGGTCTTTTTACCTCCTTGCTTAAGTTTATTCCGAGGTACTTTATTTTTCTTGTTGCTATAGTAAATGTGATTTTTTTTTTTTTCCTGATTTCTGATTCTGATACTTCATTGTTGGTGAACAAAAATGCCTTTGATTTCTGAATATGGACTTTGTATCCTGCTGTTTTGCCAAATTCACTCATTAGGTTGAGTAGTTTGTTGGTGGAGTCTATGGGGATTTCTATGTACACTATCGTGTAATCTGCAAACAATGACAGTTTTACTTGCTCCTTTCCAATTTGGATGCCTTTTATTTCTTTTTCTTGTCTGACCGCTGTGGCTAGGACTTCCAATGCTATGTTGAATAGAAGTGGTGAAAGCAGACAACCTTCTCTTGTTCCTGGTCTTAGTGGGAAAGCTTTTAGTGTTTGCCTGTTGAGTCTGATGTTGGCTGTGGGTTTTTCATATATGGCCTTTATTATGTTGAGGTATGCCCCCTTTATGTCTACTTTGCTGAGTGTTTTTATCATAAATGAATGCTGTACCTTATCAAATGTGTTTTCCACATCTATTGATATGATCATGAGATTTTTGTCTTTCCTTTTGTTTCTGTATTACATTCATTGATTTGCAAATTTTGAACCATCCTTGCATCCCTGGGATGAATCTCACTTGATCATGATGGATGATCTTTTTAATGTATTGCTGGATCCAGTTTGCCAATATTTTGTCGAGGATTTTAGCATCGATGTTCATCAGCGATATTGGCCTGTAGTTTTTTTTCTTCATTGTGTCTTTACCTGGTTTGGGGATTAGGATGATGATGGCCTCATAAAAATAGTTTGAGAGTCTTCCCTCTTCTTGGATTTTTTGGAATAGTCTGAGTAGGGTAGGGGTTAGCTCTTCCTTAAATATTTTATAAAATTCTCCTGGGAAACCATCCAGTCCAGGGCTTTTGTGTGTCGGGAGTATTTAAATAACTGTTTCAATTTCACCAGACGTTATTGGCCTGTTCAGGCTTTCTACTTCTTCATTCAGTGTTGGAAGGTTATATTTTTCTAGAAATTTGTCCATTTTTCATCGAGGTTTTCAAATTTCTTAGCATATAATTGTTCAGAGTAATTTCTTACAATCCTTTGTATTTCTGTGGTATCAGTTGTAATTTCTCCTCTTTCATATCTAATATGTATTAGGGTCCTCTCCCTTTTTTTCTTGATGAGACTTCTTAAAGGCTTGCCAATTTTGTTTATCTTTTCAAAGAACCGGCTCCTGGATTTGTTGATCCCTCAAATTGTTCTTTTAGTCTCTATGTCATTCAGTGCTGCTCTGGTCTTGATTATTTCCTTCCTTCTGCTTGCTCTGACCTTTGTTTGTGTATTGAAGCTATAGGGTTAGGTCATTTATTTGAAATGTTTCTATCTTTTTCAGGTATGCCTGTATTGTTATGAACTCCGCTCTCAGGACTGCCTTCACTGTGTCTCATAGGTTTTGGACTGTTGTGTGTGTTTTCATTTGTTTTCAGAAACTCTGATTTCTTCTTTGATCTCATTATTGACCCATTCGTTGTTTAATAACATGCTATTCACTCTCCATGAATTTGAATGTTTTTGAGTTTTTTCCTTGAGCTTGGTTTGTAGTTTCAAGCACTTGTGGTCTGAGAAAATGTTTGGTATGATTTCATTTTCCTTGAATTTGTTGAGACTTGTTTTATGACCTATCATGTGGTCTGTCTTGGAAAATGTTCCATGTGCATTTGAAAAGAATGTATATTTTGCTTCTTTAAGGTGAAAGGTTCTATATATGTCAGTTAAGTCCATTTGATCTAATTCAACAATATTCAACAATATCCTTGTTGATGTTTTGTTTGGAACATCTATCCATTGTTGACAGTGGGGTGTTAAAATCCTCTATCAGCGTGTTGCTGTCTCTGTCTTTCTTAAAGTCCTCCAAGATTTTCCTTATCTATTTTGGTGCTCCTATGTTGGGTGCATATAGGTTTACAATGTTTATGTCTTCTTGATGGATTCTTCCTTTGAGTATTATGAAGTGTCCTTTTGGGTCTCTTTTTATGGCCTTTGTTTTGAAATCTATTTTGTCTGATATAAGTA